GACAATAAATGCAACTATAGTACCAATGGATGTACATGTGTTGCAAATAATGTTTATCTTGATTGTTGTCAAACTGGTCACATGATGATGAAAATCTGGGTTGCTAGTTTGTATGCACTTTGATTGCAGTAGGTCAGGTGATTAAAGACATTAATCATGTGATTAAAGATACTAACCACGTGAAGAAAAACGGATATTCATCATTATTTTTCTTCCCTGGGAAAATATGGTCACACTCAAATAAGAAGGCAAGCAAAGAAATTAATCATCTATATATCCTGCTCTGAAAGCATCTCTTTAACAATATCTATTAGTTAGCACTACACATCGTATACAATCAAAGCTTTCTTCTTCTGATTTTGACATATAACCTTTATATCAATTAGTAATACTATTGAAATTGCACCGAACATATCACGCAGAATGGTTTAGAAATGTTGAAATTATAATCACTCAGATTTGTATCTGAAATATAGTACCATTCACCTTTGTTATATGGTGTCCAACAAACTTTTACATAATACCTCATACCTTACCCAGCGATAAAATTCGTCAAGGATCCTTATATATCAGCAAATGGTCTAGTTTGAGTTAAAAAAATAATGATATGTTAATTTTGAAAAAAAATGATACAATATAGGTCATAGCAACCCCAGTTTTGGTGCACAACACATACATATACCATAAGATGCACCTTCCATGTGATGTTTTAGCATTTTATAATTCGTATTAATCTTCAAAGTAGAGAACCAAATTTACTATTATCAAAGTCAAAAAGAGAGCAAGTAAGCGTTACTTAATTTAGGTGCACAATACATATTCACTCTAATACACAGTCTTTGTAAGTTTTATGTTAATAGCTGAAACAATATATCAGTAATGACCAGGAAAGAAAGAAACATTCACTTTAAAGATATTTTTAATCAATTCGAGAATTTAGATTACATTAACCAATTTTTTTTGTGATTGACATATTCATCCTAAAATACAATGGTAATGTGATTTTGGTGACAATATATTGAAATATATTTGTTTTATGTATATCTTCACTGTCTGCTTAATATTTGTCCATGATTTTTAATTGTAAGGGTGATTTTGTTAACAATATATTAGGTAGCTAACGTTTGTCCACAACTGTAGATTAAATCTTACAATAATATTTGTAAACATATTTACTTGGATTTCTGTTCAGGACAATGGTTTATCCCTTGGAAATTCCTGGTCTACCTAACGTTTATCTTGTTCTTTACTAAAATATAAGTAAAGGATCTGACCTTGTTTATAACTTCGAATGTTAGAGAAATTAACTGTTGATCCTCATTCTTACCCTCTTATTGTGCCTTTGGTTTTTATATTAAGGTTGTTTACATCAGAATTATTAATTCATGTATTAACATCTGCAGTGGATTTAGTCTTTTAATTATATTCATTTTTTAGAGGATCTATTTCTTTAAACTATTCATTGGAATTAACAAGTGCTCATTCAAGGATTGGGCTAAATATTTATGTTGGGATTGCTGTGAATTCATTTAAAGATACTCTGGATTATAGGATAATGACGCATCAAGACCGAAAGCATAGCAAAACATTCCAAACTATTGGTACATCAGCACTTTAAAGATTGGAATTCATTCGAAACACCACTAAAACTCATTCGGAACACTCTAAATATTGTACTTGTGATAGAACTTTTAGGATTGTTTAGAATTTATTTCACAATGCTTTAAGTTATTTTTTCAATTTTCATTTTGTATACTGTAGAAAATAAATTATTTATTAAAAATTACAAAATTGTTGGTTTTCACTCTTTGCTGTTACTTACTTTAGAAACATATGGTCGTAACATTGGAATTAAAGCCCGACAAGATGTATTAAAAACACTAATCAATTTAAGTCATGCTTACTCAGATTTAATGTGCTATACATTCCAGGCAGTTTGATGTATATAAGGAAACAGAGTATAGGAGTATTAACATATGTAGGAGGATGCATATATGGAAGGATTGTCCAGATGAATCATCGTGCAAATTAACTAAGATTGTTTCAAGTATTAAGATAAATAGTGTTGCTATATATTTGTCAAAATAATGATAAAGAGGGTTCATCCAAAGACTGTAGACACCTACATCAAGGTGAGTTGAACTGAATTCTTACATCGGCCTGGAAAAGGCCAGATCAAGGACTGATGAGCAAGGAAAAGCTAAACTTGAATCAGTAAATATATATTCGTCCTTTTAAGCAGATTGAACAGTATTGTGAATTCTTAATGTAACTAACTCAATCAAATAATCCGACGTTGTTTTCTTGGTTACAGGAACGTCTTTTATGTAATTGAGCTTAGGATCTATGAAATGTATTGATGTACCTGAAATGTAGGCCCATGCTACCATTTTATATTCACGTCTCTGGGTTTCCTTGATCTTCAGTTTCATATTACTAAGGCAGGTCTGGGTCGTTAGTGTGCATTCTTGTGCAATGATGTGTAGAATTTTTACCTGTAGTCCCTCGAGGGAATTGTAGATCTTAGTCGAACGTGATGACCTTCGTTTTGCTCTAGTGAAATGTGGTACCGACTGTGACCGACTGATAATATTGATTCATCTGTGTGTATATACACTTTGTTCTCGTGAAATACGATGTAGTCTTTGACTTACAAGCATAGAATGCATAGCAGATCTAGTGCTATAGTGTTAATGCTTGTGAAATGTAGGGTAGTCTTTGATCTACAGACACGGAATGCAATCGCAGATAATATTGGTTCATCTGTGTATATACACTTTGTTCTCGTGAAATACGATGTAGTCTTTGACCTACAAGCATAGAATGCATAGCAGATCTAGTGCTATAGTGTTAATGCTTGTGAAATGTAGTGTAGTCTTTGATCTATAGACACGGAATGCAATCGCAGATCTGGGGCTTTAAAGCTTGTGAAATGTGGTGTAGTCTTTGAATAAAGACACATATGGCCTAGGCAGATTTAGGATATGGCGTTCACGCTTAATACATGTGGCGTAGACTTTGACCTACAGACACAGAATATGCTGGCAGATATGGGTTATAGTATTCATGCTTGTGAAATGTGGTGTTGACTGTCACGCCGACGCTAGGTATGATTGAATGATGAACGTAATTCACAACAATGTGAAGACATCTGTTAGGTTCGATAATTGTTTAATCGGTGTATTAGAATGCCCTGCTGGAGTGTGTCAAGGATGCATTTTTGGGCCTCACCCATAAAATGCGTATAAAAGCCAACCACAAAGAAAATTCGTGGTATTTGTCCAGGACTGGAGTGATTCAACAATTCGACGAACTTTGTTTCGAAGTGCACAATTTCAGCAAATGCGGAAATTCTTTCATGAGAATATTTTGTTCGTAAAAATTAATTGTCGGGTTTAAATTATATATATATATATATATATATATATATATATATATATACACATACTGTATGTATGTATATATATATGTATGTATGTATATATATATATATATACACATACTGTATGTATGTATATATATATGTATGTATGTATATATATATGCATGTATGTATGTATGTATGTATGTATGTATGTATGTATGTATGTATGTATGTATGTATGTATGTATGTATGTATGTATGTATGTATGTATGTATGTATGTATGTATGTATGTATGTATGTATATATATATATATATATATATATATATATATATATATATATATATATATATATATATATATATATATATGCATGTATGTATGTATGTATGTATGTATGTATATATATATATATATATATATATATATATATATATATATATATATATATATATATATATATATATATACACTCTCTGATACAGCAACGTACATTTGCGAAACTTTTTATGTCGAAAAAGACTTGTCATTTCGAATATTGTTTTGGACACGATTTCATATCATATGGACCATCGACAAACGAGTAGTCGAAAACATGTGACCAATTGTATTTTACGCCATAAAGCCAAATATGAAAGTTACTTATATAAATTGAAGTAAGATCTTCATTATGAATGCATTTGCCCAGTGCAGCGTGTAACACAATGACCTCATGTGCAGAAAAGTAAATTGTAAACTTGAACTCAAACACCGTCTGTGCATTCTTCACGGCTTCTGTTTTATTTGCTCTTTTTTTTAGAACGATCAGTGTGTTGAGCGGGAACATCAACTCACTAATGATTATTATCTTCTTGCGAGCTGCAGAACCGCAATAGTTCATAGCAAGTAATGATTCAGTGCTTTCGAGTATATAATAAATGCAAATTTCCAGTAATAAGTATCGATATACATTATTCACGAATGAAGGGGTAAACTTGTTCACGTTGAGTTTTGTTTGGTTTGGTTTTGTGTTTTATAACACATCAGCACAGTCATGTTATTGAATGTATAAGCAATGGGAGTAAAGCGTCGTGCTCAAGTACACGTCACGGTGGATGACCCAGGCTGGTCCCATGGGGGAAACTGTACCCTTTCGATCCTGAGTCCTGTGTGTTAACAACTGAGCCACGGCAACTCATCGTGGGATGCGTTTGCAGTAGGATTAAAGTAAACTTAGGACTGAGTCTTGCAACAGTGGGATGCTGACCTTTGGACATTTACGTAATTACAAAATGAATGCTTTTGGGAATAAATACTCATTTCTGAAATTCCTTTTTTTGGTTATTAGCATAGATATACAGTAATTGGATGATCCTGTGTACCAGTTTAGATCATGTGACTCGAGACCGGAAACATTGTCCTTGCAGTGTTTTTCGGCATGACAACGATTAGACCTATAACAGATATAAATAACTGTGTACTTAATTCGTCAAAAAGGCTGTTTGCAGTGTGGCAATTTATAGTGATGTCTAGCACTGGGGCATCATGCCACAGTCACATTATCCTGACACCAGGCCGACCAGTCCTAACACTAACATCTTAATGCTGAGCGCCAAGCAAGGCAGCTGTTAGTACCAATTTTGTAAGTCTTTAGTATGACTCGACCGGGGATCGAATCCACGTCCTCCCGCATCCAAAGCGGACGCTTTAACCACTAAGCCACCGGAGCGGTTAAACAATCTTTGAAACATACAATTATTTTAAACCTATTGTTTATAATTGTTTGGATTTTAAAATTAACAAAAACAAATGCATATAATTTATTTTATATAGAGCCATTCTCAACATCTCTCCATCCAAAACCAGAAAATAATATTTGTTTCCAAATCACTGAAATAATTATATGTGACGATTGACACAAATAAAAAGCGAGAAAAAAATGTTCACTAACATTTTAGTGAACTAACTTTCTGCAGGACTTCATAATTTTGTATGATTGGTCAGAATTTGGACTCTAATCACTTTTGCATATACATATGTATTTTTAACTGATGAAATTCATTACATGCTAATCTATGCATATATGTTTTAATTTAGTGACAGTAAATTTTATTTTAATTCTTATAGTAGTGTCTCTTTTAGATGAATAAACTCAGTTTACAAATTTAACTTTACCCTAGTTAATTCAATCTTGTTTCTGGTTTTTCTTTCGTTTTGATATTTGTTGTATACATATCTGATACTTTATTTCTAACTAGCTTTTAACATTCCCAATGGTACCAATGTCGATAACAAAATAAGCAATTTATTCAAAGAGAAATGAAGATCATAAACTTGTTAACTAAGTTTTCAAAGATGTAAAAAGTGTGTTTTTTTTATAACTTACTTGAGTGTTGTCTTGGCTAAACACCAGTAGTATTACCAATAAAACGGATGATGAATAAATGTCGGTAGCCTGAAGAGTTTTAATTTTATCGCACTAAATATAAAATGCTATAATTTATTACGAAAATGAACACATAGAGAATCTCACACACACTTTATGCTCCAAAAGTAGCAGTTTTAGATCCTTGCTAAAAATCCAGGGAGCAAAATATATATCAAGATTACGTTGGAGACAGGTAGGAAAGCTATTAATTATTGTACAGTGTAGCAAAAGAGTTGGATAAATAGTGATGCTGAAATAACTGTCCATCATAAAGTTTTGGATTGAATAGTATTGGAATAAGATGTTAGGGATAAAATGAGTAGATTAGGAAGTGAAAAAGCCTGAGCATTGGTTTTCTTTAATGATTTCTTGAAACGCTCGTCACGTCATTAGTCCAATACTGACTGAAATGTTAAATAAGTTATTCAATGCTGGTTATTATCCCAGCTGCAAGTCAATTAATGTAATAACTGTGATCTCTAAATTGCATTGGTATAAAAAAAATTCAAGGTAATTATGAGACTAATTCATCTAATTTTGCATAAGAGGTTAAATGAATTAGTAGATAGAAAGGGTCAACAGAAAGAGAACAAACAGGTTTAAGATCAGAATATTTAGCCATCAGTAATATGGATACATTTTAAGTATTAATTTTGTGAAAATTACCTAATAGGTTCGTTGCTACAAAACAACTTAAAAAAAAAAAAAACAACACAGTTTGAAGGAGTACTGCAGTTAATACTATAAAACAAAGAAGGAAATACGATTTATGATAGTCATATTTCAATCGTACTGCAAGTCGTGAAGTTGTGTATTTTCTTTCCGTAAGTCATCGTACACATTTAAAGAAAACGCACGCTTTAAAAGCTGTACATTATTTGAAAAGGACAATATCATATTTATTTCATTTTTATAAAATAATATCTTCAATTTTGACATCAATATTTGATATAAAAATATAACATTTTTACGCCATTTTCTCAACAACAGCAACCACAATAATAATAATAATAATAATAATAATAATAATAATAATAATAATAATAATAATAATAATAATAATAATAATAACAACAACAACAACAACAACAACAACAACCTTAATGAATAAGATGTATTCTGCACACAAAAATAAACAGGTTAGAAAGAATAGAGGTCAAAGTAATGATGTAATCAGACTGGCTTGTTGAATGGAAATTTGGATCCATTTGTATCAACTTTATTTATTCATTGCGACTATAAGTTATATTTCCAAATATATTTTTAGAAGGACAAGATTTTTAGCGATTTCTTTTTTGGTGACTTGTCAGTTAAGCAAGGCAAGAGACTCTATCCATGAGGGTATTCTTATTTTTCTTGCCGTTAATAATAATAATAATAATAATAATAATAATAATAATAATAATAATAATAATAATAATAATAATAATAATAATACTGAAAGTAATAATAACTACAAGAAAAAGATGAGTAATATTTGTGGCTGCTTTTGTAATTATAATCAGCATTCTTATTTAATAACAACAACAACAACAACAACAACAACAACAACAACAACAACAATAATAATAATAATAATAATAATAATAATAATAATAATAATAATAATAATAATAATAATAATAATAATAATAAGTAATAGTAGTAGTAATAGTAGTGTAGTTGTTGTCTCTTTCATTTCAAAATGAATATTTGATCATATTGTTATAAGAAAGCCGTTATTATATACAATTCGTATAAGACTATATTGCATGGAATGAATCAACCAAAATCGCAAAGCTTGATCAATGATGGAATGAACCTGGTCCAATGACCAGCGACTACTATAGCTTCTGCTATCAGTGAGTTCTTTAAATGTGAAATCAGGTAGATACTATTCCGTGATGGTTTCACTAAGAATAACTAGCAATCATACATTCTACACACACACACACACACACACACACACACACACACACAAACACACACACATACATACATACATACATACATACATACATACATACATACATACATACATACATACATACATACATACATACATACATACATACATACATACATACATACATACATACATACATACATACATACATACATACATACATACATACATACATACATACATACATACATACATATAGTGAAACCATCCCATCATTCTTTTCTCTACCCTAACAGGAATAATTCCAGACTGCAATTCATGATAAAAGTAGCCCCCATCTCCATTTTTACTTAAGAATTTACTTTTGGTTTAAATATCTTCACGGAATTTACTTTTGGTTTTCAGCTTTTTAAATCTTTAAATATTCAACAAATCAACTTTAATGTCTTGGAGATGTAGCTTACAAAGAAAGTCTTAGAAATTTAAATAAAATAAATTAGAAGGATTTCTAGCTCTCATTAATTTTGTCAAATCACATCATGATATGAAGTGCATATACTTGAAAACATCAAATGTAAGTTACTTTAAATATACAGCTGGCCACAGTTATAAAACGCTAATTGGGACTCACCCAAGGGATAAAAAGAAACGTTAACCACAAAGATTATTCGGTAAACATGTACAGGACTCGAGTGATGAAATAACTGACGACCATTGTTTCCGGATACACAACAGTTATCAGTGTCATTTCCGACAAATGCGGGATTTATTTCATGGAGAATTTTGTTTAAAAAAAATAATAAATTTTCATATATAACAACGCAATCAGGTATACCTTGAAATAAAATGGACAAAGACTCAGTCTGGTACAACTTGAACTGAAATAGACAAAGATTCAGTATGGTATAGTTTGGGGAAAAAAAACTGACAAAGACTCAGTCTGGTAATGCTTGAAATGAAAAACAATGACATGGTGAAAATATGTTCAGAATGATTTGCCCTTTGAAATATTAGTTTGGACACGATTTCACATCACACAGACCAACAGCAAATGGATACTGAAGACATTTTCCGTTGACAATGTCATGTTACACAATTAAGCAAAATAAAATGTATTTTGTATTCGACATAATTTTGTAACTATGGACTGGATTTATCTACATGAAGCACATCGAATTTCAGTCAGTAGCGTCTGTGCCAATTCTACACACACACACACACACACACACACACACACACACACACATACATACATACATACATACATACATACATACATACATACATACATACATACATACATACATACATACATACATACATACATACATATTATATATATATATATATATATATATATATATATATATATATATATATATATATATATATATATATATATATATATATATATATATATATATATATATATATATATATATATATATATATATATATATACTTATATAAATCGGATTTAAGCAGCGAGGTTCTCCCTTTTCGCGTGTTGACATCTGTGTGTTCTCTTCTGTCATTGAATGTTTGAAATCATAATGTGGAAAAAATATGAAGTCTTTCATCTGCATTATAGAAAAGACGCTATGGAATTTAAAGTTTATTTCATTTTGAGGGCAGTAAGGAGAAGGTAACTGCACTTTGAATATACTCAAAATTACAGTACAATTAAGAAATGTGTAATTAAGCTTGTGAACCCATTACATGGCTCAAGTAATTCGGATTTGCAGAACTAACAAAGCACTTTTCTAGGAAATTCAGGATGTAAAACTGTAAGCATAGTTTTGTCATTCTTATTACCAGCTAAAGAAGACAGTTTTTGCCTTATCATTTGGGTGTTATTTGTAAGAACCCTGTCTAGCATCTATAGCGAGCCTAAATCTGAAACAAGGAATCGAAAAAGTTAACGCGGAGTGTGCCAAAGCATCTGGTATTTAGAAGTCCACGAAACATCTGCTTTAGTTCATTCAGAAACAAATTCTTTGTTTATAATGGAAAAGAGTTCCTTTGCTGGCATGAATCCAATATTAATTGAGCGCACGAGTACAATATTAAAAAATAATACACGATTCTGACAATGTAAAGTTAACAGAGAAAAAATTTTGCATACAATATTTTATTATAGGTGCAAATGCACAGTGCACTATAAGTCACTCTGACATTGTATGAAGCAATATAAATTGTAAATTTTGACTCAAACACTGCTTGTACATATATCACGGCTTCCGTATTATTTTCACCTTTTCCAGGATGATTCCGATAGAAGAAGTATCGATTCAAACATGATTGTTAGCTGTCCTTCGCAAGCTGCAAAATTACAACAGTTCATAGCAAGATGTGGTGCAATACTTGTATGTATAGCAAAATGTGGTGCAATACTTGTATGTATAGCAAAATGTGG